GAGTGTCATACTTCCCGAGCCTTATCACTTGTATTTGCAGGAGACCTTCGGGAATGTCACACATGTATCAGACAAGATTCAAGCATAGAAGCTTGGGACAGATATGGTACGAGTCCTGCCATGAGCTTCGGGCTAAGGTTGCCTAGAAGGACGAGTGAATGTCCTACCATTCAAAAAGGCCTAGTCACGTAAACCCAACCCACATACTTCCTACCGAGCTACAAGAGCTGTCAGGTCAAACCTGTCGAACTACTCGACAATGAAATTGAAGAACCAAGTTTCCCACCCTGAAAAGCCCTCGTCTTATTCTTCAAATTAGAGAGACAAATTTGCTCACAATTCCATCGATTTCAGAGGCCCCGACAACATCTCTAATAGAAACCCTTACTATCTGCCTCGCATTGACGAATAGGCCGACCAACCTCAAGAAACGAGGTACCCTTCAGGAATTGGGCCTGAGATCTGAATATCACCAGTCACGAGTATGAAGAAGGATATCCAAGAACAATCCTCCAATTTCGATGAGAACGCTGAAAGTTCGTAGTGATAACCCTCAGATAGGACCAAACCACTCGTTGGAGTCATGAACGTATAAATATGATGTACCCTTCTTACTAGGATCAACTCATCATCGTCATTACAAAATGACTTACTTATCTACCCTCGTAGTAAGAAGGAAACCAAGGAGAGCAGCTACAACAAACCACGGAAGAAATACGATAAGAGAAGTATTACCCAAGTTCTCCAGATACGAGTTTAGGAATTGAGGAGTTCAATTCCCAAGACACATCGTTACCCAGGGTGGAAATTCATAAGGAACCTTTCAATTGATCAAAACCATAGAGAAACAGTCAGCACCGAAGGCGTTAGCAGAAATACGCCAAGATTCTGGGGTCTTGCTGACCTACTGTCTTAGTTCCTTTGGAACTTCTCGAAAAATACGAAACCCCTCCCAACTTTGACCCTAAAGGGAGCAACCCTTGACAGGAAGAGAAACAAGAAGAAGAAACCTCTAGAACTCCGGTATGACCGACCGAATTCCTCTAGAAACACTCACTCTGGGAAGGCTTAGTACGCTTCGGAAAGCATGGAAAGCCAATACCCCAAATAATTGTGTCTTTCGAGATTCTTGTCAGAATCAGCCCTGTAACTCGCTCCTTCAATCTACTCCCGCGAGTTTAGTAAAGTACACTCTACCCAACACGTCCCAAATTTACAAGAAGTACCTATCCGACAAGACTCTTGCAATTCCCCTCGACGAGATCGAGTTCCACAAGAGCCTCACCTTCTCAGAAGAACCATGGTGACCATGGAACGAGGTCAAGCGGATGAAACAACGCCACTTCCCATTAGTGAAAGTTCGCTGGAATATTAACCACGGACCTAGAGTCACATGGGAGCGCATGAGTCAGTCGATTAGGAAGTATCCTCACTTCTCGGCTTGATTATTCATGCCTACCCCCTTGCCTAACTTCAAATTTCGGGACGAAATTCCCTTTAACGGGGGGATGATGTGACAACCGTCAAATTCTGGTCAATTCAAAGTCAAATAAAGTCAACGAGTCAAACCGGTCAGCTCAACTAACCTTGTGTATTAGGGTTAGTGTTATGTTCGTATTGTATAACTTGCTATGTTAATGGGAAAACATCACAGGAGAAAAGTTTGTGTTAAAAATTTCCTAAGCCTTCGTACTAATCAAGAACTAAACTGTGTTCGCATTTGGAATGAAAAATTTTGTGAATCGCATTTGATTAATTAGGTTAAAATGCGAAGGTGATTAATGCGAAGTTGGATTTAGCTTTGCTATAAGTTTCAATCGATTTTGAAATTGAGTATTGTTCGCATTTGTATGAGTGTAGTCGATGAATCGATAAAGCAAGAACATATGAGTTTTTGATTCGCAATTGGATTGATGATTGAGGGATGATTCGTGAAGAAAAACGCGAAGTCAAGGACTATGAAATTGTTGTTTGCAAGAATTTAAAAACTCGATTGTGGAGTTGTTGATGCTCATTTTGCGAAAGTAAAACAATCGAGTGTTCGCATCTATGAATCAATTTGAAGTCAATTGGGTTAATATTCGCATATGGGTTCAACATATGAAAATTTTGATTTCGCAAGTTTAGAGTTCAAGAACTAAACTGTGTTCGCATCTGGAATGAAAAATTTTGTGAATCGCATTTGATTAATTAGGTTAAAATGCGAAGGTGATTAATGCGAAGGGATGCGAAGGGTGTAAGAATGAAGATGCGAAGTATTTCACAGTAGAATGCGAATTGGGGAAGAAAACAGAAGATTTCAAATATTGTCCCTGGAGTTTCGCATTTTTGGAAATAAATACTCAACTTCGCAAATGGGGGTCATAAAATGATGAAATTGCAGAATTTTTAAAGAGATACACACACATAGACAACCACACATATATTTAGAAAATTAAACTAAAAATGGGATATAGACAATTATAAGACATTGTTCTTGACTTTTGAGTCCAAAGACGTATGATCCGAACTTTAATTGTGAAATCGTCCTTGATTGAGTCAATTTCCTTTATAGGAGTAATATATTCCATTGTGCCTTGCAAGTTAAAAAAAAAAAAAAAAAAAAAAAAAAAAAAAAAAAATTCAAGTCACAAGCAACCACCCCACACCCACTCTATGACCAGCCATACCTCCCCACCTTACCTATGTCACTTCAATGTTCCCTTACACTCAAATTTCACTCACTCCCACGTTTTTGAGCTGGAACAATCAACCACACTCCTCATTTTCTCTCATTTCTCTCATTCCACTAAGTAACAAACATCACTTTTTCTCTCAAACTCTTCTACACAAATTTTCGAGATCCAAGGCTGGATTCAAGTGTTCTTCCACACTTAGTAAGTAAAAATTCATCCTCCCTATTATTATTTCACTTCATTCTACTCAAATCTTTGGTTGCTTACACAAACTCCCTAACTATGATGTTAGATTCTCGAAAACCTTCAAGGCATCTCCAAGTGTTCTTGAATTAAACACTTCCATTCTTCAACAATCATCTACTGAAATCACTCAAGGTGAGTTCATACCCCTACGTTTTCATGTTTTCTCAAGTTTTCAGGGGGAGAATACAAGTTAAAACACTAAGAACATAACTAAATTTCTCTAACAGCCTTCATCAGAAAAGTTCAACTCCATTCACGGACTGTTTTGGGCATCTTAAATATTTTTTTTTCAAAACTGTACAAGGTGCAAATAGTTCAAGTTTTTAGCTTTAAAATGGCTACTTGCACATCTCCATACGATTTTTCTACAATTTATGGCGATTTTTACAAAACTGCCTATCACTTCAAACAACAATCCGGACCAGTCTGTGATTATGGACTTTTTCACCCAAGTTAGAGGTCATTATAAATTGTGATAAAAATTATGAGCAAACTAGACACATTTTGTGAACTCTCAGAATTTACGGATCTAGTTTTCGACTTTGTATGATTTTTCTATGATTTTTCCGAAACAGGGCAGAATTGCTAAATTTTACCAACAGCATGTAAATATCATAACACTTTGTATTATGTTGAGCAAAGTGTATAATCATAAGTTTTAATGTTTGAATGTGTTTCCTAGTTAGTTTATCATTATGAACTGAAACTAAGACATTCATACTAAATATTATCCATTCATTTTGGAACACGTATTATTTAACTATAAAAAGTATAGTTTGAATATATTTATAACACTAATACATTTCCATAAAAGGGTTCATACATATTATACACATTTTAGATAAACTATAATAGGTATAGTTTATGATACATCACTCTACGCACTCGTACCAGAAGTGTACATTCATATAAGAAAGATTTCTATTCGCACACATTTCACGTAAGTTAATCTATGGTTTGATAAATTCACAACACTAATACATTTCCATAAAAGGATTCATACATATTACATACATTTTAGATAAACTATAATAGGTATAGTTTATGATACATCACTCTGCGCACTCGTACAAGAAGGGTACATTCATACAAGAAATATTTATATTCACACACATTTAACGTAAACTTGTTATCCTATATTGTGAGTTTCTCTATTTCTCTCTCTCTCTCTCTCTCTCTCTCTCTCTCCCCGTACGTCCGAGTGCGGGAATATAATTCCTGGTAGTTATAATCAGAATCTCCTTGAGGGAGAACGTGATACTTGTATATAGATCTATATTGGGATTGACACCCCACACCTTGCTGCTAGCTACAGTTGGACCTGCAGGTCTACGGGTGACAAATGTCATTTTATTTTTCGCGACACTGAGAACGTCGTGGCAGGTTCACATAGTCATAGTATGATTACAACGGCTCACATAGGGAACAATCCATAAGTTTACGGGATTTTATTTTTAAAACCTAAATGAGTTTTATGTCGATTTAAAATTACCTTTTTATCTCTATGAGTACAATATTACTGTACACTTTTGGTTTTGGTAGTTACGACTACACATCATTTGAAACCACATTTATACTTTTAAGTATGGTCAATACTTGTTATTACTCGGTCCTCTAATTTAGGACTACGTATATATAATGTATTAACAAACCTGAGAACATATAGAAATTTCATTTAGTTCAAACATGTCCATGTCCATTTAAATACATAACATTTTCTATTAATAAGAAAGATTACTTATACATTTTGGTCTTCAGTCATAAGACTACCTTACACAGATTTTAAAGAAAATATAGGATTTTCTGGATACATATTCTGACGCTTTTACAAGGAAAACGATTTACTTTTCTAACGAAATCTCTTATGAACTCACCAACCTTTGTGTTGACACTTTTCAAAACTACTTGTATTCTCAGGAATTCAGTGAAAACAGGAAATCAACAACGTTTTGAGGATGGGACGATAAATCGTCAAACAATTCATTTTGTATTATAATGTAATTGATGTGAATCATGTAAACATGTGCTTTGATGTAACGTTTTCAATTATATTTGTGTTGGTTG